ACTGCCCCATAAGATTTTCCCTAAATCAAAGATATCATTCTTGGGTTAATTTGGACTCCCTCCTGGGGCCCGGGAACTCATCAGGCCACGTCATAACCACTTTTCCAGGGCACCAGGCCTCCTGGGACATCTCTTACCTGGGGTAGATCTCCTCAGCTGCCCCCTAACCCGCATTAAATAGCCATGCAAAAAAGAAGGAAAGAGAAATTATCAGGACATTCACCCCACGGCACTTGCCCCCAGACATTTCATTCTTGTCTTTTATTCTCAGCAGTTCACATCAGCTGGGGTAACTATTGCTTTCTAGTGGGTCAATGCCGTTCATAGCACCTTCTATTAAATATGTCAAGTAGATTTTACATTACAAATCCACCACTTTTAGTGAGATTTCATATGCTTATCGTTAGATCTTCAAAGGTTTTTAGATAGTCAGCAGAGGGCGAGATTCCCGTCTCACTTATTGGCTAGAGTTTTAAGGAAAGAATTTCAGAGGAGTATGAAAGTAGCATGCTTCTCCTTTCTCCAAAGTCTGCAAAACTGTTTGTGTACATGAAATATTACAAGAGACCCTTCCCCGGCCCTAAACTCTTGAAAACCAGGAAGTGTTACACAGAGTGGTAACTACAACTCCCCTCAGCCCTGTCCTTTTGATCTGAGCCATGTGTTAAGATAAATAAATAATCCTGTGGAGTGCTTATCTTGCTTCTGGCAAGGATAGGACAATTCAAATGTATGAGTTTATACCACCTACAGGAAAGAAAGTAGGTCCAGCGCTCAGGAGAAGGAAGATTCCACAGCTAGGCATGACAAAGGGGAAGTCCCACTAAGAACAAAGTTGTAAATGTGGAAAGCATAAGGGGGCGAGATGACTCAAAGCCTGAGAGAAGAAAAACTGGAGATTTAAATACCAGTAGCTGGGGCTAACGCCAAGGAAAAAGCAGGCAGATGAGCTCGCAGATGTCAGGAGTATTTAACAGTCCCATTGCCGTCAAGTTGATTCTGAGTCATAGCGACCCTATGGGACAGAGTAGAACTGCCCCGTGGGGTTTCCAAGGAGCGGCTGGTGGATTTGAACTGCTGGCCTTTTGGTTAGCAGCCTCAACTCTTAACGACTGAGCCACCAGGGCCCCATTTAATAGTGGGACACAGAACCTTGGTCCTGCAATTTAAGAGACAGAATAGTGTTCCTTGACTTAACCCATTTAGTACCTGAGTTTTCTGTGAGATAAAGCTGTGCACCCCAGGCGTGTTTCTGAGGTAACAAAAAAATAGATTGAACCCCTGAATTTAGTGTGACTGCACCTAGTATCTGTAGCCACTGGACTTACCTGCCATTTACGGAAAAGGCCAACCCATGGAGATGACTGAGTGGCAATTTATTTTGTAGAACCACCTCAACGGAGCTAAGCTTGAAGGTTATGTGCTTCGGTTTCACTAACGGTGGGTATAAGAAACTGCCCTACTTAGAAAAAGGCTTTTTTAAAAAAGCTATGGGGACATTATTCATTACCTTTAAACAAGGAAACCCTTGACAAATTCCCTTTAAAGCAAGCACGGGAAATAGGTCTGTTTCTCCTCGTGAACTGAGCTGTTTCCTAAAATGACACACACACAAATCTGTAACCAGTAGTTTTCTAATTTTTCTAGGTTGGTAAGAAGCTCAGAAGTAAGTTTTAAGTTTAATTGCTATCATTCTTCTCAACCACAATGTATTGCTATCGTTTCTTCTCTTTCCACCTTTACTTTCTGGCTCGTTTTGCTTCTTAAAACTGCTCTTGTAATCTCAGTTTCTTTCTGATGTGGGTGGCATATAAAAAAGGTGCAATTAATTCACAGATTAAAAATGTGCCTCCTGAGATACGTGTTTCCAGACGGCACTGCCTTTCCCTGGAAGAATGTTTGATTCCTCCCCCTCCATTGTTTATTTTCTTGAAGTGAGAAAGAACAAGAAAGCAAAAGACAGCAAATCCAGGGTGGAGGGTTTGCTTGGAACATTCCCAGGAACAAACAACTGGCAAGATAATAGCCTCTGAAACAGACATGTCCTATGGAGAATTATGATTTCCATGTGCAAAGACTCTTTCCTTTCTCTTGTGTAAACATAGTTGGAAGCTGGTTTTAGCCAGTTCTCTCCTCAAAGTTCAAGCAACAATTGAAATTACAAGCGTGCCCCAGGTGATGTCTTTACCACTGTGGATGACAACTTACCTGCAATCGGAGGCTGGAAGGTGGGGGTGGCTAAAGGAGGGAAATTACTATGTGTACGAGAACCTGGGGGAATTCCCCATTCTGGCTAATAACGACAGTCCCCAATTTCTAGGACATCCTTTAAGCTCTTCCCATTTCCTTTAAATTGTCCATGGTTCTTAACAACGTTTAGAAATTAATTTGTTCACTAGTTGGAGGATTGTTTTTTAGGTAGAAATATAAGGGAATTGGAGCCCTGGTGGTGCAGTGGTTAAGAGTTACAGCTACTAACCAAAAAGTCAGCAGTTCGAATCCATCAGCTGCTCCTTGGAAATCGTATGGGGCAGTTCCACTTTGTCGTATAGGGTCGCTATGAGTTGGAATTGACACGATAGCAACAGATTCGGTTTTTTTTTTTTTGGTTTGGAGTTCCTGGGTGGTGCAAAAGATTAACGTGCTTGGTGCTAACCAAAAGGTTGGTGGTTCTAGCCCACCCAGAAGTGCCTCAGAAGAAAGGCCTGGTGATCTACTTCTGAAAAATTAGCCATTGAAAATCCTGTGGAGCACAGTTCCACTCTGACACCCATGGGATCACCATGAATTGGAATCCACTTGACGGTAACCGTTATAAGGGTCTTAAGGTTGTTTCTCTTCTAATGAGTAATTGTTGACTTTTCTGTGTGTCTAATCTGCTGCAAAAGATCTCTTTCAAGTGTTACAAAGCAAAGATGTCACTCTGAGGACGAAGGTGGGCCTGACCCAAGCTATGGTACTTTCAATTGTCTCATATGCATGAGAAAGCTGGACAATGACTAAGGAAGAC